TCTTTCTTTCTTTCTTTCTTTCTTTCTTTCTTTCTTTCTTTCTTTCTGTCTTTCTTTCCCTTCCTTCCTTCCTTCCTTCCTTCCTTCCTTCCTTCCTTCCTCTCTCCCTCCTTCCCTCCCTTCCTCCCTCCCTCCTTTTTTTTCTCTCTTTTTCTATTATTTTTTTGTTTGTTTTGGATTTTGTTTGTTTTGAGATAGTCTCTCTGTGTAGCCCTGGGTGTCCTGGTTCTGTAGACCAGGCTAGCTTCAAACCCACAGAGATCAGCTTCCTGAGCGCTGGGACTAAAGGTGTACACCACTACCGCCTAGCTTAGGATATTTTCTTTCTCATAGGATTGAAGTGCTGGGCTGGCAAGATGGCTCAGCAGGTAAGGGCGCTTGCCTGTGCTAACCTGGTGATCTGAGTTTGATTCCCAGAACCCCTGGAGGAGAGAACGCATACCTCAAGATTACTCTCTGTTCCGCTAACCCCAAAAGAACAAGAAAGAGCAAAATGGCATTTTTTGATACTCATTTTATGCTGCCCTTTAGGAAGGTGAAGCTGTTGAAGTGGATGAAGAGACAGCAGCTATCTTGAAGAACTCACGTTTTGCTCAGGATTTTGTGTTCACACCCACTGGAGCCGCACTGCCAGCTCCTCAGGGAGGTTCTGAATTAGAAACAAAGGTTTGTTTGACTTTCAGTTCCCTACTTCAAACAGGTTCCTTAAAACCAAACTACAGGCTTACAAAAACAATAGCTTTCTTTACAGTTGGCTACCACAACTCATTTCTAGGCTACCTATGTGCATAGATGATTTGATTTTTTTTTTTTTTTTACGTAAAGATATTTCTGTTTTATGTGTGTGGGTGTTTCGCTCAAATGTATGTCTGTGCACTGTGTGCAGTGCTCCCAGAAGCCAGAATTCCTTGGAACTCAAGGAAAGGTTGGTAGCTGCCACAAGGGTGTTGGGAATAAAACCTAGATCTTCTGGAGGAGCAGCCAGTGCTCTTAACCACTGAGCCACCTCTTAAGCCTGTAAATGCATTTTTCCTTTAATTCCTAACCACAAGCCAATAATAACCTTTGAGGTTTTGGGATATCTGTGAATTAACTGAAGGTATCTGTAAGGCCCCTACAATTGTGCTTATATATATAATTTCTTGGGAAACCATCTGTTGCTTTGATCAAGTTTTCAAAAGGGCCCATATGCAAAGAAGGTAAAGAGTTTCCACAGAAGCACCTTACTGCTGGACTCAGTGCCTCATACCCATAATCCTAGAGACTGAGAACGACGGGGAAGCAGTACTTGAATCCAAGAGTTTAAGACCTTGGGCAATAAAGCAAGACCTTGTCTCAAAGACAAAACCCAGTGTGAAAACTTGCAGCCAGTGCTGAGCTGTCTTGCTAGCACCAAAAAGGAGCTTTCACCCTTGATTAGTTATCCAGTTATTCTCTGTGTGTGTCACAGTGTGACGATGTGTGTGCGTGTGCGGAGGTTAGAGGACAGCCTGTGGGAATCAGGTCTCTCTTTTGTCCTAAGGTGTTTGGGGAATAAATTGGCCCTCAGCTTTGACAGAGAGAGAGAGCACCTTCACCTGGTGAGCCGTTTTGTCAGCTCCCCATCTTAAGCATTTACAAATATATAGCTCAGTGTCATTTAGGTCACTCCCAGGGTTGTATAACCATCAAGACTCTTTACTTGTAGAACTTTCGCCGCCTCATCCCCATTGAGCAGCCATTTCCCGGTTCCTCCTCCCACTGGCACTTAGCAGTGGCTCAAGGTTTTGACCCACAGGTCCGCCTGTGCTTGAACTCACATACACATGGCCTTTTGTATCTGACCTTTTCACCTGGGTTTCCAGAGCTTCTTCACTGGGGCTGTTCTGCTTCTCCGAGTAGGGCTAGAACACTTGGTTTATCTGTCCCCCACTTGACAGGCATTGTCCTGCTTCTCGAAGATTAGAAGCAGTGCTGTTAGGGGCGTGAACTTGCAAATATTTGCTTGACTTTCTGCTTCCGAAGATGTTGCGTTGATACCTAGAAATGGACTTGTTAGCTAGGCTCAGTGGCGCACATTGTAATCCCAGCACTCAGGGAGGCAGAGGCAGGCGGATCTCTGTGAGTTCGAGGCCAGCCTGATCTATAAAGTGGGGCTCAGACAGCCAAGGCTACGCAGAGAAACCCTGTCCTCAAAAAAACAAAACAAGACAAAGAGAGGAATTGTTTTTTCCACATTTCTAATTTTTGATGGCTTTTGATGTTGTTTGTTTTGAGACAGGGTCTCACTATGTAGTCCTGGCTATCCTGGAACTCAGTATGTAGACCAGGTTGGCTTTGAACTCACAGAGATCTGCTTGTCCCTGCTTCTAGAGTACTGAGATTAAAAGGAACATGCCACCATGTCTGCCAGATTTTTAACTTGTATAGAGTGGCAGGGCTGTCCTCCACAGGACCTGATCAACTCTGTATACCAGTCACCACACGTGACAAGAGCAAGGACAGAACGGAATCTCTGACTTGTGCTTATGCAGAAGCAGGTGATCTAAAAAGGCCCTGGGCTGCCTTCCCTTATCTACAGCAGCAGGCTCCAGCAGAGCAGGGAGAACAAAGGCGGTCACCCCTAGTGCGTTCTTGCCCTCTTGTCAGGTGGCCAGCCTTGTCCCTGAGATCTCTGATGTCAGTGACTCCGTCCTTATCACCGCTTACCCCCTTCCTTTATTCTGTGAACATCTGGCCCAAGTCTAGTCAGTTCCTTCTTTTATTGTCCTTGTCTCCTTCAGGGCCATCTGGCCTAGGGAAGGGACTGAAACAGACAAGCCACTAACATTGTGTGGTAAGCTAGCAAAATGTAGGCTGTAAAAGTGCTCTCCCCCGTCTCTCCTGCCCCACGATGTGTAGTGGCTCCTGGAAGTGTGTATGGATGAGCAACAGCTCCTTGTGGCCATGCAGCCTTCTCAACATTTAGGGGGTTTTTCCAGAATAGAGCTGTGCAGACCAGTGCATGGCCTATGCAACAGCAAGCAGCTGTGCCAAGAAAGATTTTCATTGCATATTTTTCTGGGACAGGGTTTCTCTGTGTAGCCCTGGCAGTTCTGGGACTCAGTCTGTAGACGAGGCTGGCCTTGAACTCAGAGATTCACCTGACTCTGCCTCCTGAGTGCTGGAATCAAAGACGTGCACCGCTACCACCCAGTGAAAAGATTTTTAATAAAGGAAAACTAGGAAGACTTCCCTGAGACTGGGAAGTTCAGGAGCCAAAACACAAGAAAAGACAGATAGAAACTGAAGAAATCAGCCCTCCATTTTATTACATCAGAGATGATTTATGAATGTTGTAATCTTTTGTTAGGCCTATTTGATTCATTTGAGTTTTTGGGTTTTTTGTTGTTGTTGTTTGGTTGGTTGGTTTGGTTTGGTTTCTCTGTAGCTTTTGGCTGTCCCGGAACTCACTCTGTAGACCAGGCTGGCCTTGAACTCACAGAAATCTACCTGCCTCTGGCTCCCTGAGTGCTGGGATTAAAGGTATGTAGCAACACCTCCTGGTGATTCATTTATTTTTAAACATTAGCTTTTAAATATTTTATTTTATGTGTATGAGTGTTTTGCTGGTATGTGTCACATATGTGCCTGGTGCCTTCAAAGGTCAGAAGGGGGCATCTGTGAATAGAGTCACAGATGGTTGTCATCCACCTTGTGGGTTCTGGGAGCTGAGCCTATATGGGGAAGCTGTAGGGCTTTGATCTGAGTGTGTTTCCAATTTAACAATGTGAACCTTTTTCACATGCTTAATGGCTTTTTGCATATCTTCTCTGAGGAAATGTCTGATCACGTTCTTTGCCTGTTTTTAAATTGGGTTGGTTGTCTTTTGCTGTTGAGTTGTAAGAGGGTTTTTTGTTGTTGTTTTTAATGTGTGTAGCCTGTCTGTTTTGTTTTGTGGTGCTGGGGGTTAAACCGGGAGCCTTACAGTCCAGGCAAGCACTGACCACTGACTCACACCCCTGACTTGTACGTGGCGGTCTGAATATGAGGCCTTGTCAGGTACATACCTCGTTACTGTCATGATAGTATTCTTGGTTGCACAAAAGATTTTAATTTAAGTTTGGTTTTAGTTTTGAGTAACTCATTTGTCTTTTCTTTAGTTGCTGGTCCTACCTGGGTCCCATCTAAGAATCACTGTCAAATCTGTGATGAAGACTCTTCTACTCCCTTTTTATGGCTTTGCTTTCATATCTCGGAATTTAGTTTAACATAAATATTGAGGTAGAGGGATGGTATCTGTAGCCTGTTGTTTGCATGGGTTGCTCAAAGGGCCTGAGACAGCCTTTTCCATGTGAGGTTTATGTATTTGGCCTTGTGAT